TGTACAATATAGTGATTCACATTTTTTACAGATTATATTCCATTTACAATTATTATAAAATATTGGCTATATTCTCCATGCTGTACAGTATATCCTTGTAGAATATTTTATACCCAATAGTTTATACCTCTTATTCCACTACCCCTATCTTGCCCCTTTCCCCTCCCCTCTTCCTACTGGTAATCAATCACTAGTTTGTTTTCTATATCTGTGAGTCTGCTTCTTTTTTGTTATACTCACTAGTTTGTTTAGGAGCTGTGTTTTAAAGAAATAGTTATAAATAAGATGAACTTTCAAAGATTCTTCAAATCCTCAATTCCCCAGGGGTTAACAATCTCAAGTGTCTCCTCTAAATGATCGTGGGCAAGGTAGAGCCAGACACGGCTCTTTAAAAGCATCCTGGAGGAAGACTCACAAGCTAACTAGAGTGGTTCCAGTGAGCACAAGACTACTAGCAAAAATTTCTTCTTTTAGTGAAAAGGCTGTCCTATCAGAAATTCCCCACCCGTGTTATAGAAAACAACATTGTGTTTGCCAAAAACAATGAATGCCAGCTAAGAATTATTTAACCATCTTCATATTAATCACTACAGCATCATCTAATTAATATTTCATTTATGATCCCCGAGGAAGTATCACATGCCAGGAAATGCATCTTAAATCCATCTTAGCCTAGCTCTAAAATGCAATGATGTGTAGCTTTATGATTTCAAGGCCTAAAAACAAGCGAACACCTTCCTTTTACAATTCATGAATGAGATGCTATAAAATGCTGGAAAACACATCATTCCATTTTTCTCTATACACAAAGAATCCATGATCAACTATAAACTATCAAAATGGGGGAGGTGGAGATTGACAACGGATGCACACAGCACACGACAGTAACACAGGGTATGGCGAAGCTACGGTATGTGGGAGGGATGATTCTCTTGCGTCTTCCACTACCCTGAGTACCAGCTCCACAAAACAAAAGGAAAATCTACCCCTGTCAAAGAGGAGATAAATAGAACACACACATTTCTCCCTTCCTAGAAGACAGAC